GGCTTGGCTTCCTCCTTGTTGCAGGGCACTAAGATGCCTGCTTCTTTAAGGGCAGAAACTGCCTAAAGTGATGTCCCTAGGAGTCAGGCAGGAACACTGCAGGTGCAGGTTACTGTGGCAGCAGACTAATGAGGGAATTAGCCTGCACCTGCAGCTGGCCAGCTGACCAGAAGAGGCAGGTCCCTGGGCGCACACAAACCCCAGGGCTGGGACTAGAGGGTTAGTTCTCTGTCAGCAGCCAAAGGGGAAGGAGTTCTTATATAGGAAGCTAACTGGAGAGGCTTGATTGCCTGTCCTGCTTCTGGTCTGATTAAGGGGCTCCAGGAGCTCACCAGGTACCCTGGCCTACAAGGCACTTAGTATGGGGGGCAGTTTGACTCTTTTAAAGGGACAGAGTGCACCCTGAACTGCTTGTTATAGCCCAGGGGTTCATATTTTGGTTGCTGTTTATAAACCAGTGGATCGGGCTGAGGCTATTGGGGGAGGAGGCGGCCTCATTAGGGGGCCCACTACAGTGTGGGGGACCCCAGCGCCAGGGGTGCAGTGACAAAGGGTCTGTGGAGAGCACAGCACCAGTGTGGGCACAGAGACAGGGCTGTGGAGAGCCTGGTGATGACAGGAGGCTGAGCTATAGCAAAGCCCCCAGAGAGGCAATGTTTAAATACCAGCTGTGAGATTTGGGGTGTGGTAAAGGTGGTTTTGGAGCCACACATCTAACCCATAAGGCTGAAGGTGTCCTATGAGGCATCCATTTTGAGTGGGATCCAAAAAAGGGGTCTAAAAACCCACAGGATTCAGTGGGGTCCATCAGGACCGTATCCAAGCATGAACTCAAGGGCAGCCTCCCTATTTATTATAATTACCAACAAGACATGGCAGATGAGGAAAAGGGTGCCTGTTGGGCAGGATTGGCATGGTCACGGAGCCCTAGGTGTGTCATGGCCATCACTGGGTACCCCATCCCATGACACTGCTCTGCTGCCCTCCCTTCTGGGGTTTCTGTGACCCAGTAGGTGGGATTCAGCACAGAAGGGCAGAGCAGGGTGGGGAGGCTTGGTACTGCCTCTGGAAGCCCTATGCTGTTATGGTGAGGTGCCCCCTGCCTGGCAATAGAAGCAGGCACAACTTGGTGCTAGATGGGCAGGGGGTGCCTTACTATGGCAGCATGGGGCTGGCACTGGCAGCACTGAGCCTCCCCACTATGATCTGCCCTGCTGTGCTAGGTCCTGTCCACTGGGCTCCAGAGGCTCCAGGGAGAGGGCATCAGGGTGGGGAGCCCCTACCTGAAGCCACCAGCCTGTATCCACCCCCCACCCCACACAGAGTCTGCTCCAGTGATACCACCCACAGGGGAGGGGGAGCTAGACTCTAGGCTCCAGGCTCTGCTCCACTGCAGCAGCTTCCGCTTTCTACAGGCGGCAGCTGGGGCTCAGGCACTGCTATGAGGGCAGGGGGCTGTAGACCTGAGTCTCTGGGTTCATAGTCCTGGCAGCTGAAGGCCCTCTCAGGCAGAGCTGGAGGGGCAGGGGGCTGTGGGTGGGGAGTGAGGAACACCATCAGGGCCCATAGGACTGTGGGTAGAGAGTGAAGGGCACTGGCAGGGCCGGAAGGCTGTGGGTTGGGAGTGAAGGGCACCAGCAGGGCCCGGGGTGGGGCAAAACTGGGTGCTGTGGTTTGGGAGTGAGAAGCACTGGCAGGCAGTGTTCCCTCTAAGCTGTGTGCATGCACGGCCATGCACAAGTAAAAATCTTGCCATGCACAAACTTTTTAAGTCTGCGCACCTGCCCAGCGAGAAGCTGGGTGTGGAGTGGGGTGGAGGCACTGGGGCTGGTGTGGGACACTTACCAAAGGTAAGCTCCTCACTCCTCATGCAGGGCAGGCAGTGGCTCCTCCCAGAGGTGAGGCAGGGGCAGGGGCAGGGACAGGGGCTGGCACAGGCTCTGCTGGGTCCAGGGAACTGCTCCACTCCCTTGTATCGCCTTGGGGAGTGAGGAGGCACATGGCTTCAGGGCTGGGGAGTGGAGCAGTTCCCCAGAGCTGGCAGAGCCACACATGGGGCAGGCAGCAGCTTCTTCCTGAGGTGAGGTGAGGCAATGCAGGGATGGTGTGATAGCTGAAATTGTCTGTGCGATAAAGGTGCTTGCTGAAGGCTCTATGAAGATTAGACCAAGTGTTTTTCTGTCATTTATTTAGCCATTGAGTTATATGTTGTTGCTAAGAGCCTAATTAAAGTTTAAGATGTAGTAAGGCCTTGTATAAAGTAAGGCCTAGTAAATTTAGCAAAGCCTTGAAGTAGTAAGGCCCTGTGGCATAGTTAAAATTTAACCTTATCAAAAGAATGCAAGGCTTGTACTGCTATTGGTCAGTCTAAGGACAGTTGACGTAAAAAGAATCTGAATGGCTAAATTATCAGCACAGTTCAGAAGTTATAAATTGGCCGAAACATCCGGAAATCATTCAGAAGGAAGATACAGCTCTGTGAAAGAGATTAATTAGCTGTTGACCTGGATCAGTGGGCCCATAGATCTCGAGGAGCCCAAGGACTGAATACCAGGGTCCTTCCCAGTACCTGTCAGACAGCGCTGACCAAGGATGCCTGACTTCGCTTAGCTTTGTGGAAAGAGAAACTTGTTGTACATCAGGCATCAGAGGGGACTGCCAATAAGTTGCCAACATGAATTATTCTCGTCTGTTGTTGTTTGTTACTATGCGTAGTTGTGTTTTTGTTAAGTCAATAAACCTTTCTTACCTTTCTACCCCCCGACCACACTCTCAATCAATCCCAAAACCTCCACTGGTGGCTGGGACAGATGGGGCTGGGGGCTGGCATGGGCTCCACTGGCTCTGGGGAACTGCTTCGCTCCCCAGCCCTGACTCCATGTGCTTCCTTACTCCCCAAGGTGTTGCAGGGGGAGCAGAGCAGTTCCCTGTCCCCACCCCCGTCTTGCCTCAGGGAGGAGCCACTGCCTGCCCTGAGTGAGGAGCTTACCTTCAGTGAGTGTCCCACACCAGCCCCGGTGCATCCCTTTCAGTTCTATTGATTGATTGCATCTGGCCCATGGCTGCCCCACAGCACTCCACTGCGCTGCTCTGGGCAGCAGTTAGCATGGAGAAGGGTGGTGGCTGAACCCTGCCTGCTCCCATCTGGACACTTACTTTGGGACACTTACCAGCAGTGCACTCACGGACTGAAGCTCACTGATCGCTACTCCTTAGAGCATTGCTGGTAGGGCTAGGGTCTATGGATCGGGAGCGAAGGGCAACAGCGGGAATGGGGGGAGGGGGGTTCTGGCTTGGGAGTAAGGGGCAACAGAATGGGCAGGGCACTGGCATATCACCGCCCCCACTCCATCACAGTTGTATAACCCTTCCCCACCGCATGTGACAGGTCTCTTTTTTTTTTTTTTTTTTTGTTTGGAATCAATATAATATAGTGTTTTCATTTCAATTGTGAAAAAACATGGATTTGGGATATTTTAAATCAGAGAACTTTCAGGGGTTTTTAAAATCAGAGAATTTGTGGTTTTGAAACGGAGAAAACCAGGATCCCTGCTGATGAGAAGTATTCTGAAAAATGGGGGAAGAACAGAGTGAGACATTGGTCCACTAATATATACTGTATAACCTCAAAATCTGGGTTTTAAAAATCCAGCACTCTTGGCTATCTGGCACTTCAGTGGGCAATCCTGGAGTAGTGGTGGCTTGTCCATGGCTGCCCGGACAGTGACTGGCCACTGCTACCCCTCCCCCTGCTCCACACGCTTAACTTACATTTCAGAAATCTGGCATTTTCAAGTATCCAGCAGGTGCTGGGTCCGAAGCATGCCAGATTTGTGTGTGCGCATGTATGATACATAAAACACACCTATCTCACAAAGAAAGGCCCCAGGTATAGAGGTGCTGGCCTTAAGGAGATAAGGAAAACCATGTGGAGAGGATCAATTCAAGGACAGAAGAGCAGAAGAAAGATTAAAGGAAAAAGCAGAAAACATGAATTAAGTTTTCCAAATGTATAGCAAGGCCTTATAGTCAGTGGTGTTCTCAAATCAAGAGGGAGTGGCTGGACCAAATAGACTTATGAGGGAATAAGTATTGATCATCTGAGAATGCAGAACAGACATTGAAATAACTGCCAAGAGGGAGAGGTTACTGGCACGAACAGAGGCTAAGGACCTGGGCAAGGCCCACTATGTAGCCTAATGGTTAGAGAATGTTGATAGGAAACAGGAGACAAAGGCTCAATCTCTGTCTTTAGTGGGACCTTGAACCTGAGTGTCCTGATTTCTGGGCAAGTGCCCTAAACACTAGGCCACTGGATTCCTCTGTCTAGGACCCACAAGTCATGATTTTGCACAAGTAAAATTTTGGGACTAACCCTGATTTAAGCGACTAACACTCATTTATTCTTGTGTCAACATTGCCCCTTGGCTTAAATAGATCTATATTTTCCCTGATATTTATTCCCAAATGTACAGATAAGGAGCAATCATACCTCTTCTCAGTCTTCATTTTGCAAGGCTAGGCATATCGGGCACCTATACACATACACTGAGGCTGCTCTAATGCACTGTAATTATATGTCAGAGCAGACTTGATTAATTAAGTCTGCTGAAGCATGGCAATTACTGAACTGCAGCAGACTTCAGCAACATGTGTATTAGCATCCTCACTGAATAATGGGGGCGGCAGCACTTTAACTAAAGCTCATTTGATAAGCTTTAGTTCAGTAAGCTTATTGAATGAGCTTTAGTTAAAAGTCACGGTGGGGGCGCTTTAAGTGTGGGGATGCTGATACACATGATGCTCTAGGTGCTTTAATTAAAGCCCCCCCCACCTCCCGGAGCACATGTATAAATGCCCATCAAGTTGTTTCCATGTCCTCATTTAGGATAAAGTCTCCATTCCTCCAACCCTCTTCTGGTTTGAATTAATCTGTCTCCAGGTAACCTGAACTGTACAGCATATTCTAATAAGCCTGCACCAGTGTCTTGCACAAAAAGAGTCAATGCTTATTGTAAGTCATTCACATGTGGATACTACAATGTATTTTCATAAGTTTTACAAGTTCAGAAAAAAGGGCAGAATATATACATCCTTGGCTTATTAAAAAACCCAGAACTGTTTAATGAGCTAGCATTATCTGCTCTATAATCTTAATATATATGTCTTTATCCTGCCCCACCTGTGAGTGATGGAGTCTAAGCTTGATTTTATTACTGATTAATACTTGCCATGAGTCTTTTCAGAGTTTAAAAACCTGCCATCTTTTAAAGAGAAAAGAAATCTATGAAAAAAGAAGAACTACAGAATCCTTTTCTCTTGTGCTGAAATGATTAAAAAAGCTCCAACAGCCAGATGATACCATGCTTTTCCCAAGGAGAATGGCTTCCTGTTACACACAGGAAAAGGCTCATATTCTACTTATGTTCCTTTCTTTATCTTTGAAAAGCCAACTAAATTTGTTCCATTTCATCTGGAGCTCCACCACACGGAGAGAAAAGAAAAGAAAAGAAAAGAAATCTCACAACAAAAACTAAGGGTAAGTCCTGCAGCCAACCCATTTGTTGTTTCTTAGGTCTTATTCCAATTTAGTTTGGCATTTGTTGGTGTTTACAGATTATACAGTAACACAGGTTCCTTAGGATACACGTTGTTTACCAAATTTTAGTCAGATAAAATACTCTCATTTTAAAGGCAGACAAGGTTCCTTGGGTGAATTTGATATCTTTTATTAGACCAACCCAAATAGTTGGAGAATAGTTATTAAGCAAGCTTTCGGGTTCAAAAACCCTTCGTCAGGCTAAGGAAGTTTCAGCAGTTGGTGTGTGCTCTTCCTGGATGGAATGAAAAGTAAAGAAGCCAGAGGCTGGGCTGGGGAGTCAGTTGTCATTTGAAAGGTGCATCTTTAAGAAGTTACCAGTCTCTATTGAAATTTTGAAGGTATAAGAAGGCACTTAACTACACTTAGAGGGTTATTTTGTGATTAGGATGAGATTAGCAATTTTCAAAAATTAACATTTCAGCTATGTGGTTTGTAATAATATGGAATAAAATCCTACTTAAATTGTAGGGAAACTTAAATTGCAGCGAAAAGTATTATTTAACTTCCACCCTAAATCTGAAATTGCCTAACTTGAGAAATTAATTACATGATCTGCATTATTATTTCTTGAACATGTGACTCCATCAAATATTTGGAAATAGAGCTAATAAAATGCGAGCTCTCTTAGGATGCTTGTGTGCGCTCTTTATTTTATAAGTGTTTCACCACACACTGCAGGAGTTTTGTTTGGACAATTTTAGACTTTCCAAGCTACTTCAAAATAAGGAAAAGCTTCTATTTAACAAAATCCCAGATGGCTGCAATATTGTGTTTATGAAATCTGTACCACTCAAGATTTAAAAACTCCTGAGCTGTCAGTCTTCTCATCATTATTAAAAATTCACTGGAAATACAACCTAAAGCCATTTGGTTCAATTGGTTGATTTCACTATATTAGAAGGGACATTTTCTCAGCTACGCTTGTGGTTGCAGCTATGTTTTGACCTCTCACTGACATAAATAGTGATAAAAACCAAGGATTTTATGCAGACAACAGGACAAATATTTTACTATCCCATTTCAGAAGGGCTGATGTCTAAAGCAGGTTTGACATACCATGATGGACACTTTTCAGTAGACATATTTTAATTGTTTTGCCCATTTAAAAAGATGGAAGGGGAATAAAACATGGTGCTACTCTATCCATATCTAGACACATGCAGGATGCCTAAAAAAATCATTTCATATTCAAAGAGTGAAGTCTTGACCAAAATTGAATCCCTTGATATTTAAAAAGAAATTCATACATCCCCTGAACTTTGAAGCAAAGACTTGTCAAAAGCAAATCCAACCAAATAGGCTTTTTGCCAACCTTAGCCTTTATTTATTAAAACTTCCTGCAAGAAAACCATGTCATCTTTTTTGTTTGTTTAGTTTTTTTAAGCCTTTCTTTTGAAATATTTTCTCACTGGAGTTTAGTCTAGTCACTTTTAAGATATTATTACACAGGAGTTTTCTATCCAAACTCCATACTGCCATCTACAGAATATAAATTCTACATTACTTCTTTGTAAAAGCCACTCTGCCATTAAACGTTACAGATAAAAATTATTTAATAGGTCTCCTCTATCTGCTTGTGAGCTTCAGTGCTTTGACCAGTCTAATTTCTAATCACTCTTATGAAAGCCTTTCAACTTCTTCTGTCTGCAAGAATGCCTGAATTATGGAGGTTCTCTCACTTTCTTTTAGCTAAGAGGCACATTGCTTGCAGTACATTGTAATAAAAGCCCATACTTTTAAACTATATGCCACACCCACAGTAAACACCCTGGGTATTACACAAATCAGAATTATTTTCTTTAAAATGTGCAGTTAAATGGTGTATTAAAAAGAAGTAAAAAAGAAAGACTATTAATTATGAGGTAAACTACAGTTATAAGAAAAGATGGTGCCAAGCTCCAAATTTGGACCTGTAGTCCCCTAGTAGCACAAAGGAAATTGGCCTGAATTTCCAATTTAGTCCCAAGCTTGGCCATGCTTAAAACAATACTGGAGGCGATAGGGTAGGGGAAAGAGGTATCTGAAGGGCGGAAACATTATCAAGAGTTTTGGAGTGAGCATGGGTGGGATAGATGATGAGAAGCAGTTCCACAAAACTGAGTTTGCTATAGCAAATGAATGATTTACCTGTCATCCTAAGACATGGCAGTAGAGTTGGAAGCAGTGTCAGAGCACATAAGCACAATTTATAGATCTTTATTGTAGGTTGTTAGCCATGTTCTTTAACTTCTAAAAGTTTAAAGTGTGAGATGAATAAGTCAAGAAAAGACTCTAATCTACACTCCTTCAATTTTCTTACAGATTATTTTGATCAGATAGATTATGAACATTTTCTAATGTCTAACTGAAATGTAGCTAAAAATCTCTGAAGGGTACGTAATTAGAAAACATTTTAAACTGTTCAACATGGCTGAAATCTTGTGAGCTCAAATATCCAAAATCTGATTTCAAAACCAAATTCAAATGTTTCAATATTCTAAACGAGTAAGCCTGGAACTAGACTCAAAAGCCTTTGTTTTAAAACTATCTGAGATCTAACGTCGACCTTCTTGAGCTACTTCAATAAAAGAGCTTTGGAAGTATTATTTTATATTATAATGGAGTGAAATAATAAACATTGTAGTTGTGGTATTTTCACAAATACATTTGCATTAGCCAGCGTCAGGGAAAACAGCATTATGTGAACTAGAGAGGGAAAAGAAACTCTGCCAGGATATTCCATTTACACTGAAACAGGAGGTAACACTGGAAACAATGTTACATTCTAGCTTGACATTCAGAATTGTAACAACCGATATATGATTTTTATTAAATTATGTTTCCTTTTCTGTAGTTAAGACATGATCAAGATGGAGTTACCTGCTGCTGCAGGAGTTGCTGTCTTACTACTGGTTAACACAGTCCAAGCTGAAGTCTGCCCTCCTTCTTGCATATGCAAATCACCCAAAGGAACGAAGATCCAGCTAATTGACTGCAGCTCAAGGGGACTAAAGGAAGTGCCTGCCCTGCCTGCTAGTACCAAGCAACTTTATCTACAGAATAACAGCTTGACCACTGTTCCTACTGGTGTATTTGATGGCTTAGTCAGCCTGGAAGAAGTGAACGTACTCAACAATCCCTGGAACTGTGACTGCCACATTCTATATCTCAAACTCTGGTTAGAAGACTTCAACTCTTCTCTCACCAACCTCAGCTGTGCAAGCCCAGCTTCCATTGAGGGAAAGCCTTTGAACCAATTAAGTGGGAATGAGCTGGATGGCTGTAGGGCACTTTTCCCAATCAAATGCCTTGAGTTCTTTTGGCGGGATCTTGTTTTGATCATCTTTGCAATAATTGCACTTATTTTAATGGCATATGACCTGAAGCACTTCAAAAAGCTAGCCATCAAGTTACTGTGAGCCAGAATAAGCCTTTTGGCCTACTGCTGCAAAAGCAGAGCCTAGAAAACTACAAATCACAATGAGATGTCATAATCACTAATAGCTCTCTTCACTAGAATAGCAAACTTCCCCGTCACAAAGGATGCAATTGCACAGGAAGTACAAGTTCAGAATTAAGTCTATTGGGATGGGTCCCAAGATGGAAAGCTTGGATCCTCACATATCTCTTTCCCCAGAATTCAGGTATAAGAGCTTGATTTGTACCCATCTTTAAACTGCACTTAATGTACTTATTAGCAAGTCACAGTAAATTAATCTTAAACTGCTTTCAATAAGCATGTAGCTAATATAGGATTGTTTTAGGAAGTTTTATTTCACTCTAATCTGTGATTCTAAAAGATGTAATTTCACATTTTTGCCATTATAGTCTCAGCTCTTCTCACAGAAGTTTTTACAATGTAATGCTAACTAACTAGCTTTTGCTAATGTATAGATACAGATGTAGTATACAGATTACAGTATATCATAATTACTAAGTTAGATGCCAATCCTAACTCTGACTCTGTATACCCCTATGCTGATATACAGTCATATTGACACACTTGCATAGTCACATTCAGCCATTCTATCAAACAGAGCAGTTTGCTATACATCAGTGACCTGTTTTTTCAGCTATTTACTGCTCCCTCAGTCAGTGTCATTTGCAAACTTTTTTATTTGTGATTTTGTGTTCTCTTTCAAATGACTGATTAAAAGAACCAAACCTTGCTGGCCTTTCCTTCAGAAGTTTATTTACAGCTTTTGCCAAAACAGTACAATAAAATGATATTATAAAAACAGCATTTATATAAATTGTAATTTTACTAAAAGTATATAATAAGATTATCCATTGTACTAGTTTACACAAAATTAAAACAGAACATGATGTATAATGATATCAAAGAAAATGTTAAATGAAGTCATGAATGATAAAATAAAAGAGGAAAATTCTATTTGATTTTGGCCCTTATTTTTTTGTTCAAGTAGCACAAATATACATAAGGTGTATAGGACAAAAAGAATTCAGATTTGTTTTTTCTTCATTAGCCTACTATTTAGTATTTCCCATTAATGAAGAGATTAATTTCCCTCATTTCTTCAAAAACATACGAGACCACGGATAATTATTTACGTCAGCAATCACAATCTTTCTACAAAAGCATAATCTGTCTGAATATGGAGTCCAACACAACCTGCCCATGGTGACTTGCCAATCTCATTAAAGTGAATCTCAATCTAGTACTGCCCTCTCCTTGTTTGTACTTTTGCTGGGCCAAAGGAGTGTTTTATTAATCTTATAAAGGGGGAAGTTTGCAAGTCTCACTGCCAGCATATCTGTCTGCATGCTGCCATTTTTAATTCTTAAATGTATGTTTTGTTTTAAATACCAGGGAAATATTGGATAAGTGATTTTCAGTACATTTGTCTGGAGGAGAATATAGATATTCTTTAGGCATCCAAACCAAGGTTTATTTGGCAGAGGAGAGGCTTCCAAAATGCACTATCTAATTTTCATTCAGTAATTTAGGGTTCTCAATTGAGCTAAAGTGCTCAAATTTTATCAGTCCAATTTCGAAGTGGTTTTCCGGTGAACCATAGCAACCCTTTCCTTCAGTCTAAGACCATGTGCCAGGCTTCCTTTACCATTAAATTGCCAGCACCTCATGAAGACCACTGCCAGTAACTCCTGTATCTAGTGTCCGTTTCTTTATCTGGTAGTGGCTGTAGGGCCAACGTCTGTTTCTGCGAGTGATGAAGCACGGCTAGAACTAGATCCTGTCATGCCTTATTGCTAGTACAGGGGGAGCCCAGGATCATAATTGGCTACCCCTGCACCAACAAGTGGAAACTTCGGTGGCTGGGACACTCTGCACATAATGGGGCTCCCAGCTGTCAAGTGTACTAGGCTGAGGGATCGCAGTTGATGTGGTCTCCCAGCCATGGAGGTGCCTGGGGCATCCCTGCAGCTGGGTACCCTGTCAGCTGTGAGCTCTCAGTCTCTGGGGTGTACATGGGACCCCAGCTGAGACCCTGACCAGTTGATGGGGCTCCCAGCCACATGTTCATGCATGTTAGTATGGAGCAACAAAGTTATTATACATTAGGCATGACTACATGAGACATTTACTGTGCAGTAGACTTATTAGCACAGTAAACACTGTGCATCTAAACATGTGCCCCTATTAGGCTGTAATAAATTAATTTATTCTGCAGCAGGATAGTATTTGTATTTCTTTACAAGTACTATTATGCTGTGGACTAAAACACTTGGCAGCAGTACACATGTAGATGCTGCCCTTGCTGGCTGGGGCACAAGGTGCTGCCTGCTCGCTAGTCCCACATTGAAACACCCTCATGCTCCAGACAGCCCTTTTGCAGTAGGATGAGTCAGTGGGGAGCAGCCCTGGGCTGGCAGGCTGACCCCCCTGGGCCGCCTGCTAGCTGGGGCTGCTCCAACCCTGCTCAACATGCTGTGATAAGCAGCAGAGTTTATTGCATCACATTAATATGGACATGCAGACACACCCATTTTTTGGAATAACTTTGTGACTTATTTCTCCTTTTATCACGCCATTAATTGATCTAGATGTGTGACGGGTAACACATTAAGCTGTAATTAATTGGTTCTGCTACCTGTGGAACCCTTGCTTATACTGACTAGATAAAGCATATTATATATAGGGTCATATCTCTAGGAAGAAAGTAAGTGATACTTTACAGGAAGCAGTGATTCTGAAGAGGACTTTGGGGTCATGGCGAAAAAAATCAGCCGAACATGACTCCCAGGGCCGTTCTACAACTGAAAGGAATAACGAGATCAAGGAAGGGGGAGCTGGGAGGCTACATTATCTCTGTACTTGGCACTAAGTTGATAGCCCCTGGAAGCCTGCATCCAGTTCTGGTGTCCACAGTTCATTATGTCTGAGCCCTCTCCTCCAGTTCAACAAAACCATGAAAATGATTAAAGCGTTAGAAAACATGCCTTATAGGAACTCAATGGATATAGCTCCCCCAAAAAGAAAAGATTTAGGGATGACTATCACTAATTAATGTTAGATAACTGCGCTGTTCCAGGTCCAAGAAGAAAATTACCTTCAGTGGTGACCAAAGTATATCTGTATCCCTTACTAGCCCTGCAGTGATGTTGCTCAACTTAAAAAGGCTTTTAAGTTATCAGGTGAGAGACCAGAACTAAATTCTATCCTTACATCCATGCCTGATTTCAATGAGAGTTATGCATACAAGATAAGAATTTTTTTGGCATTGCTAAGTTTTGCATGCAATACGTGACCTCTTACAGGACAGGACAATTGGCAAGAACCATGGCAATATTATGGTTTGTGCTGCATTGTAACTTATGACTGCTTTTTCTGCACTAAGCTGTTACATTTTTGAAAATTAACTGCCATTTTGTGAGGCAGTGTTAATATAGTATATAAGAGAAGTGCACTTTCCCATTATATTTTTTTCTCATTTCCTCTAATCTGAAGTTAAGCATTCAGACTAAGTGCAGATGGCTGCCTTTATGCATAAAATGACAAATAAATGTTGGTGTACTGGCTGTAAAAATGGGTCACATTCTGCTCTGTGAAACCCCACTGAAGTCAAATGAATAGAAGAAATAACAGCATATGGCAAACAACGTAGGAAAATACTACATTTAACATGTGAGTAACAAAGCAGGATGTTGCATTATATTCAAGTACGCATAGATATATAAATGGAAGTTTTCTGATTATTATCGACGTGTTAAAATGTTTGTTCTGAATAAGGAGCATAGTAGACAGAAAAACCTGTCAAAAGTCTATCAAGCATGCAGAAGTGTTGCTTTGGGATGAGGCACTTCCTGGCTTCTGGTATTCTGAGCCCAAGAATAAATATAGACAAGCAGTGTGGAGGGGAAGGGAAAACCAATTCCATTGCAGCACTTTCAATTCCATGAAACAGAGTTCTGTTTATCACTTCTGAACCACTTGGCTTTTATCTGAAGACACTCTGAAAAGGAGGCAGCTGAAACATTAGCTAGAGCCTATAAAGTGGTGTTCAAGTGCTTATCTGGTTTGGCCAACATGGTTTATTTAAATGTTACCATTGCTTACAGCACTTCATGAAATGAAAACAGGAAAATACCATGTCTGGCACCTAAAATACAACATGTAGGCAGAGTTCCCAAAGCAGTTTGCAAGAGAGGCAGAAAACCCCACACTTTCCTACTCTGCCATTTCACACTGTCAAGAATGCAAAGTAATGAATGTACTTTTCTTCGCATCTGTATGACTTATGGTAAGTGTTACATTTTCTTTAAAGGAATTTATGCATTCTTTTGTAACATATGCTTAGTGAACATATACTTACCCTGTATTTAAATAACGATGGAAGTAAGAGTTGCTGAATGGGTAAGAATAAGCTCCAGGAAAGGTAGGCACTATGGGAGGAGAATCACCTTAGCGTTTGCTCAAAGATAAATGTGTAATCCATTTTATAGGTAACAAGACAGACATGATCTTGCAAACCTTCTACATGTTTAGTTCTATCAAAAGCAAATGGTAGCATTTCATATGAGGGGACAGAAGGTCTGGGCTAGATTTCAATAACTCCAGTATTAAGTAGACTATTTTACATTTACAGGGTGCTGTCCCTTCCAGACTCCAAAAGCAGTGACTGCTCCACTGTAATAAGGTTCAGACAAATTCATTGTTTCATAGACAAAGTTGTTGAAAAGCAACACAGAAAAAACTGCTATTGTTAGTATCAATGGCAGCAACCAACTAATACATAGTATGGTACACAAAATGACCCATTGCAAGAACAGCCATATTAATAGACTCAATAAATTCAGTGCTTCCACATCTGAGTGAATGCAACAGGCTTGGACCACAAATTAAACAAAAATTGATTTTCTACCTCCCCAGGCAAGGAAAAATTACATATAATTGTTGATCATATATTAACTTAAGATGCTGGTTCATATTTATAAGATATTTAATTAACTCTTTCTTATCATGAACATAAGGAAGAGAAGACAAAAATCTTCAGTCATTGAAAATTCTACTATGAAGTGTAATTTGTCCAAGTCTCAATTAAAAAGATTTGAGCTTTGCTTTAGATTTAACAAGAAAAAAATAGCCTTATACAATATAAAAGAATAAAAATAAAATAAAATCAATTGATCATAAGAAATATTTGTGATCATACAATAAGGTGAGAGTATATTTATGGAATAGACCATTAAAATAGTGTAGTGGAAAATATTTTTAGGCTTCACTTGCATGGAAATACCTGGTTAACCACAAGGAAAAGAAAAAGAAAAAAAAAGCAGCTAAGCCTCTCTTCTCTTAAATAACTGACATATTTAAAAGCTTCATAAGCTATAGCACACTGAATAATTCAACATGAATAACTTTAATTTACCTTAATGTATTCATTCAGGATATGACATAATTAGGTCTTCTTAAAGATCCTTTTTAAAATTTCATTCATAGTAAGGTTTTGTTACTTCTTTTGCTATTTGTGACTGATAAAGCTACAGTATTATCTGGAAAAGAGCTACTGACTTTAATGCAGCTAAACAAAAACAAAACAAAAAACAAACAAGAAACCTGAGAAGTTAAGTCACTTGTTAAAGTTTCTGTCCTGTCCTCAGAGAACACCTAGCACCAAAGATGTGCCACAGGCCTTATCCAAAACGTGCTAAAGTCAGAGTAGCTTTTCCATTGTACTGAACATGTGAAATCCATTCAATTTTTTTCATTTGAAATGTTATATGGGTAAATTGTTCTCTCTTTAACAGGTTTCGCCCCTTTTGATCTGCAAGTTTCATCAGTTCCCCCACTCTTGCATTCTCAAATACAAAGTGACTCAGTCCCACAACAAGCATTTTGATAAGTCTGCATTTCACCTATCAGAGGTTAGTTTTTCTGATATTAGGTTTTTGCTGCTCTTTCAACAACAAGATGCACCATAGGAAATAGTTTCCAAACAAGGGCATGTCTACATGCTGTCCTATGGAGTATTTCCTTTTGGAAGTACTAAAGCATAGTGCAGTAACTACCTGTACTGTGCTGTGCCCATAGCATGCAGTTAGTTTTAGTTGCTACATTGCTGTAGCGTGTTGTATGGCAACATAGGACATGTAGACATGTCTCAGGAGACAGATTTTGGCTGGTATAATTGCTTTTGGTGCCTTATATTAGTACTTAACAAAAGGTAGATGCAAACATAATAGGTGCCTGGTCCACAAAATTAAGCCAGAGGACTTCAGCACCAAAGAGTAAAGCCTCCACCAACAGTTTTGCTAAATACAGTTAATTCATCAGCATGTAGCAGGCTACTAGATATAGTCACGAAATCATGAATACTTCATGCTTGTCCCTTTGGTAGATCAGGAGTGTTAACAGACATGCACACATAGAGAACATCAGTGCACTACAGAAGATCCATTAGCATAGGTTGCTATTTTGGCCAACTCAAGCTATCCTACGCCTGATTTTACATTGTCTAGGATTTTATATCCTTATTTACAACTGTGCCAAGTGAATGGTACTATTTTACTTACAATAAAGTTAAAAAAAAGAAAAGAAAAGAAAAGAATGGGAAGTAAAGAGTTCATGCATATGAGATTCTTTTTTTGAGGGCAACACAACATAATCTTTTGCAGTTTTATAATCCTTTGTAGAGGGAAGTTGGGGTGTTCAAAATACCTTAAAAATTAGGCCCCATGTGATTTAGAAACATTACACTGGAAGGGATAATCTGGGCCATAGGCAGGTCCTTTTGGAGGCCAGAGGGTAATGGGTAAACCATACATCAGACGGCCATGTAGGGTATGAACATATGTACATTTGGAGCCATTTCAAAAGGGGACAGGAGATTTGTTTCAACCAATGAAACAACTCTACTTTCAACATTGCTTTATCTAGAAAGAAACTTGAAGCAGATCAGCAGCTTTCCCTTTGAAATGTTTCCAAATGTACATGTGTCCATAGAAGCATCAACAGAAACTCGGGATCTTTCAAATAGAAAACAAATAAAAGCAAAAAACTGTGATGTGTCACTGAAAAAGAACAGGTGAAACCATTAATGCCTTATTCAAGATCAGACAAAGGTAACAGCAGAACCTGGAATATAACCCACAAATACTCACTGCAGACTGAATCCTGGAGAGAGCAACAAGCCATTCCCATTTTAAAGATCAAATTCCTTAAAATACTGTTTTCCAAAATTCACGTTACGGATTTCTCACAGCTGTATTATTAAAGAAAAAAATACCAGTAAATTGCTGGAGGCAATGATTTTTATGGGTGATGCTTTTTATTGGACCAACTGTTAGACAAACTTGTGACAGCAGTTGGTCCATGCAGTTGTTCCAATAAAAGATTCATAGATGTTAGGGTCTGGAAGGGACCTCACGAGATCACTGGGTCTAGCCCCCTTGCACTTGGGCAGGAATATATCACCCACAAAGATATATCACCTACAAAAATCCTTGCTTCTCGCACAATTCTTGGACCACCACAGCTACGTCTACCCAACACTACTGATAAATTGCTATAATTCTATCATGGTTGTGTAATACAAATGGATTTCAGTCTTGCTTGAAGTTCACTATCAACACCTCTATAACATATGTGTGTGTATTAAGTAGAGTACTTTATTACGTAATACAAATGCCAGACAACTTGCCTTGGCTTTGACTTGGAAGAGCAACCACTTAAGGCAGCATTTCCTAATCTTGGAGCTGCAACCCCATTTGGGGTCACAATGATAAAAAATGGGGTCACGCACTCCCAGGGAGGGAAGCATGGGAGCACATGTGCCCTCCAGATTTGTGCATGGGGCAGGGGTGGATGTGGGCTGCCCGCTATGGGCTCACGGCCCCCTGCCCTGCTGCCCTCCACCCAGGGCCTCCAAGGCAGAGCTGGGAAGGGAGGGGAGGCTCAGTGTCACCACTGGGAGCCTTATGCACTGCCATAATGAGGTGTCCCTGCCCACCCAGCAGCAGTAGGGGGCACAACTTTGCACCACCATTGCTGCTGCTGCCAGGTGATCAGAGCGGGCCTTGCCATTGCAGTGCAGCCAGTGTGGAGCTCTCAACAGCAGTACCAAGCCTCCCTGCCCTCCTTATGGACTGCAGAGGCTCTAGGGGGAGGGAGCCCCAAGCCTGCAGTGGGCAACCTGCATCCTCCCTCAGCCAAGGGCTCTGCTCCAGCTATGCCACCCATGTGGGGGGGAAGGGATAGGGGGGTGGGGAGCTGGGCTCTGCTCATATAGCCCTGACAGCTGGGTGCCCCCACTGGCAGGGTTGTGGGGGGCAGGGGGCTGCAGATTGTGAGTGGAGTGTACCAGCAGAGCTGAGGGAGTAGGGGACTGTGGGTGGGTCACCTGGGGTGTGGGGGAGTGCAGGTTGGGAGTGAGGGATCATGCTGAGGAAAACTTTGGGAGACACTGACTTAAGGGCACATAAGTTGAAGTACATTAAAACATTATATGGATGCTCATTTAATCAGTTAATGGCCATTTTACTTGCCCAACCCAACCCCAGAGGTATGACACACTTCAATATAAGCAATACTAAGTACAGACAGTCAAAAAGCCTAAGGCTGAATCAATTCAATCTTTGCAGATTAATCTAAACTGCGCAGACTGAGTTGATAAGCAAGTGAACAGACATTCACTTCTGATTCCGGAAGTGCAGCTACATGCCTGCAGTGGCTCAGGCCAGAAGCTAGATGGCGCTAGAGCATGCCCCCCTGCTTGGCTGGAGCAGACAGCTTGGGCCAAGGCTAGCCCCCCAACCCTACAAGGGAGAGCTGGGGGGGTGGGGAGGGGGATTTGTGAAGCATCCTTGGATGCTGGGTGACTGTGAGTTAATTTGAATCTGGAGGGGTTTATTGTTATTAAATCAGTTCTGGCCATTTTGAAAGTGGTTTATGTGCACTGAACGTCTGATCACTTATACCAGTTTATATGTAATCTTTGTCCTTAGCCACAATTATTTTCCTTCAGTTTCCTGCTTGTCCTTATGTAAATGTGGTCTAAGAGTGAGAGAACTGATTAGTCCTTATACCTAGTCAGTCCCTAGCTTTGTTAAGCTGGTCAGCAAAAATGCCAACTGGTGGCTTGGTTAAGCTTTGATTATGTGAATATTTGGAACCATGACAAAAACAGCCACTACACATTTGAAACTTCCCAATCCCCAGTATTGTAAAAGATTGGTAAATAAAGTTTACCTAGTACTGATGAATCTTCCCACTAATATGTTTCTAAGGACACTGAGCTTCTTTCTCTACTGCTTTCCACTTTCATAGCTGTTTACACCCATACAAAAATTCTTCTTAAAATACTAGCACCATCTCTCACTTTAGCAAAATGTACACATGTACAAGCACCTAAATGACCGTTCAGGTAGAAAGGAGCATACACTTTCAAAAGTATTTTAGCCTATTTCACTCCTCTCCCCTTTCTTTCTATATGCCAGTAGTGGAATAAAGGACATCTAATGGGTTATCCTTCAGCCATGCTGTAGTTACCTAAACTTCATCTCTTGAATTTATGGTGGTATTTTCACAAGACATTCTATAGATTGGATTACAGTTTAATTAATGGCAGTCACATTCTCAGAGATCTGTATTCCAGGATGAACTGGGGGAAGTATCCATGTAATGATGCACCACCTCTTTTCAGTTTAGGCATTATGCTCTCACTGGTTCTCAAAAATTTCCATTTTCAGAATGTTTGCCTGTCCAAGATTGCTGGTGCTTTTACTCCTGAAAGCCTCCTTCACAAATCCCTGCCCCCATCAGTGCATGTGCTCCTCTTTGGGTCCTGCATCACTCAAGGTAGACTGTGGCTCTAGAGACCTGGATGCCCTTCCTCTTCTGCCTAATGCAACAGAAGAACTTTATCTGCAGTACAACCAACTGAAAGCAATACCTGCAGGAACATTTGACAACCTTTGGACCCTAAAAAGGATCAACTTATCCAGCAACCCATGGCACTGTGACTGTGAGATTATCTACTTAAAAGTCTGGTTGGAAGACCAAGCAGACAACATGGTTAGCAATGAGGTTATTTGCTTCACTCCACTTTCACTTCATAAGAAAACACTCTCTCAGTTGAGACAGAGTGATTTTACCCCTTGCTCCAGTGCTAGAAGACATTGTTTTGACTTCGTGTTCACTGATGCATTTCTCTTGTTTCTTGTTCTGCTCTTGTTGACTTTACTGATCTGTGGTGTCTTGGCTGCAAAAAAATCTAAGTACAAAATGAATGTTTCTAGTGATACCATGGATTGGCCCCCTGCATCACCTTCAATTTCTATTGAAGTCAAGAGAATAACTCCCAATTAAGAGAATAATGCCCAGGACTTTAAGCAGTACATCATGCTAGTGACTTGTGCGAGTTAAAATATTAGGTAGGAAAGATGGTTCATTAGAAAAGCATGCGACTGTAAAAACCAGATGAGAATGGCATATGCAGGGACAATATAAAGCATGACATACAAGTATAGGGCCTGACCTTGAAAGCCACAAACTAATGAATTAAATCCTGACCCCACTGAACTCAGCGG